AGGTTGATGATTGGAGGCCAGCCATGGCTACAATAAGGAGAGCCCCCCACCTTTCTTTTTGATCTTTTTGAAAGTGTCTCCCTGTAGCCCTAGCTGGCCTGGAAGTCACTATGTAGACAGACTGGCCTTGACTTTACAAAGGTCTGCCTGCCTCTACCTCCCAAGTGCTGGGATTAAAGGCACTGGCCACCACACCAGGCAATTTTTTTGTTTTGAGAGTCTTCCTTTAGCCAGTAGTCTGAAACTTGCTGTGTAAACCAGGATGGCCTCTATCTCACAAGAGATTGCCTGCCTCTGCCTCCCTAATGCTGGGATTGAAGGCTTAAGCCACTATGCCTGACCCTTTTTTGGAAGTTTTTTTTTTTTTTTTTTTTTTTTTTTTTGTGACAGTCCATAGCCCCAGCTGGCCTAGGACTATGTAGATGAGACAGGCCTTGATCTCTTTTTAAAAATGCATTCCTATTTGTGTTTGTGTATATGTGACATGTGTGCAGGTGCCTATTGAGGCCAGAAGAGAGCATCACATCCCCTGTAATTGGTTGTGAGCTACCCACCATAGCTGCTGAGAAAAGAGCTCAAGGCATCTAGAAAAGCATTAAGTACTCTTAACCACTGAGCCCTCTTCTCCCACATGAGACCTGGTCTCAGTGAATCTCTCAGACTTTCAGACTCTACTGACCTGAGGGAAGAATTTATTTTTAAGGGCAGTATTGATAGAGGGAAGTGTAACCAGAGTAATCAGGGGACCTGGGAATGTTTCATCCTGAGAAGCAGTTCCTTATGACTTCCGGGTGGTTTCTCTTTTTCAAGATTTCCTCCTATCTGTTTCTGGAGACTTCATTAGGCTCAGGGGGGGTCTCATTGGCAGGGAAATTCAGGGTAGAGATTACAATTTCAAGTCAGAATATAACTACAAGCAGTGAGGCAGAGAAGCTGCTTGGCTGGGCTGTTCCTGAAGGTGGTGCAGGAGCCTATAAGGGATGGGGGTTCCTCTCCTGGATGTCAGGCCCCGTGATCAGAGTTGGTCTCTGGGGGAACAGCTGGATGACAGAACCTAGTGACTGACATCACTTTTCCCTCTGTCAGGAAATGGAGTCAGAGCACAGAGCAGACTTCACACAGCCTGCATGTCCAGGATTTGGAAAATGCTGAGGGCAACGTGGAACACCAGGTCAGTGATGGGGAGGACCGGTTTCTCTTCTGGTCCCATGATCATAGACCATACATGGGATCATCTCCATGTCAACCCACATACATGTAATGTTAGGGCTTCAAGACAGCAGTTTGTGGTAGTAGGTATGCAGTTACCACTGAACTACTCTCAGCCCCACAGGATTTGAGTTTTTGGTTTTTGAAACATGGTCTTGCCATGTTGCCCAGGCTGGCCTCAAACTTCTGGGCCCAAGTAATACTTGTTTCTCTGCTGCATGAGCAGCTAAGACTATAGGCGTATGGCTTGAATACTGTTTTGTTTTGTTTTTTTTAAATACTATTTTATGTATATGAGTGTATTGTCTGCATGTGAGTGCATCCGTGTTTTGCAATGCCATGGAGGTTAGAAGAGGGCTTCAGATTCCCCTGGAACTGGAGATAAGGATGGTTTATAGCCGCCATGTGGATGCTGGGAATTGAACCCGGGTCCTCTGCAAGAGCAGTCAGTGCTCTTACCCGCTGAGCCACCTCTCCAGCCCGTTTTGTATTTAACAGTTGATATAAGAGTCATACACCTAAAAAGCCCAACACATACTATACCAACACACTGTTCACTTAGGGTGTGGTGGTGATGTTCCAACCTAGCAGGCCCCACTGCTTGTGAGCACCACAGAATGTAGGTTTTGCTTGCATGATCACTGAAGCCCTGGGAAGGAGAGTTCCTGCTCGGTCACCACCTCTGCCCCCAAGATGTTAGCCAAGGCCTGCCCTAGTTGGCCCCAGACCACTGTACTAAGGCCAAGAGACAGAGTTCAAATTCTGATGTATAAGCTACCTATGCACCAGGATAAGGTATGTGCCCATAGATATAAAACAGGTCATTCCCCAGGCTAAACAGAGTCCTTGAGTCATGTTCAGTCTCACCACAGTCTGTTTTAGAGGTGCTAAGTAAGACTTTTTTAAAGATTCAGTGAGGTCACAAGTTCAGTGGCAAGGCCAATGTTAAGAGTTCAGACCACAGTCTCTAGAGTATTGCCTGGGAAGTCATGGTGCAGACCTACAGCATTGCTGCTAAACCCCTTCCTAAGCAGTGAAACCCAATTTCCTGTGCATCTTTGGTTCCTGAGAAGAGTCGGGCCTAGTACCTTGTCACATCCTTTAGAGGGTGGTGCAGCCATCTTGGCTCTGGAGCCTCAGCCTAGCCCTGCAGAGAGATTTCTGCCTGGCTGGGAAGAACAGGCATGGAGACAGCATCTTCCTAGGTGGCGGGTATCTAAGGCCCTCCTTGCTCACAACTACTCAGGCACTGATCAGACTTGAAGATCTCCATCCAGGAGATGGGTCACCCAGTGACAGGTGGAGATCATCTTTTTGTGGGAAATACGGACGTGGTATTTAGCAGGTCAGGGTAAAGCAGTAATTAATTTGCTAAACCTCACTGTCAAAGCATGTCCCTAACCCAGCACATAGGGATTAGCCAATAGGTTAATAGCAAATTAACATTCTAGTTCTAATTGGAAGGGACAGCACTGAGTTAACAGGCTGTCCTCCTGTGCCCTCTTTTCTCATTTCTTCCAGGGTTCCACTGGCCTGATGGGAACAGAGCAGCAAAATAGCCTCAGCCTTGGAACTGCACTCCACACCAGGGAGCTTGGTTTCCCCTGGTGGAGACTACCAGGTCCTACCCTGCAGGTTAAGTCTCCATCTTCTAAATGGGCACGATTTCTCCTATCACCTGGGAACATGGACACAGCACTGCCAGGGTCTCTGCAGGGGGCCCCACAGCCAGCTGATGCAGCACAAGCTGAGCAAGGGACCCCTGAGACCGAGACCCCAAGGGAAAGCTGCTTCGGTAGGGCCCCAGCTGCTCACATTCCCACATCTAGGCCAGAGAGGCCAGGCAGGAAGACACCTGAGCACTGGGCCCTGGGCACTCCTCAGGCAGAGGGTGGGCCCTTAGCCAAAGGGGAACAGAAGGGCCTGTTCGTGCAACTGCAGCATTCACACCACCTCTTTACAACTGGGGAGGACTTTGAGGATGACCTGTGAGCTAAGGCCATTCCTGTAGCCTTTGACCATGAACACATGGTCCCTGTCCCTCTCCACTAGTCCTCCCTGCCACAGAAACAAGATGGAGGTGCTTTAAAACCGCCTGCCAATAAACATTTCTGGTAGATGTACTTCTCTGACAATACTGGTAAGGACCACAGCATTGGTTTTTAAAGTGCATTAGCCATTTGTTTATAAATTGGTCACAGGCTGCTACAGAGGGGTTTCTTGAAAAGCAGTTAACACTGGATATAAGAGAACAAGAATGTTAATGAACAGGGGGAAAGGCAGTACATTGTACATTGTGGAGAACTGTCAGCTTCCCATGAGCCCCAACTGCCCACCACCCCTGACTCACTATGGCCAGTCCCCCTTCTCCATACTCTTAACAGTATTGTTGAAAATGTCAGTATATTAATCACTTTTAACAAAGAAAAAGAAGACTATCAGGCAAAACATATTCTGAACTGCTGGTGATGCTGGCGGCAAGAGCAAGTGCATGCAATGTGTCTCTACAGCTCCCAGCAAAGCCCAGGCTCCTGGGAGGCAGAGGAAGCTCAGCCACAGGTATCTGGGTATGTTCTCAGACATCAGCATGTGTATACACACCATACATACAGACACTTGGAACTTCTCCTCAGATCACTTGTCCTACTGCCCTCAAACGTCACATACCTCCACCCACAGATTCTGGAAGAATGCTGAGAAACAGGCCCTGCTGCTCTACTCAATGCAACTAGGAGATAAAGGGGTGGGTTGCAGGGCTGGGGCACAAACATTGTCACAATGGTGGAGGGTGCTTTGAATACTGGATTGTGTCCAGAGCAGCCCCGATGTCATAATTCTTGGTCTGTAGGAGCCTGGTGAGCCAGCCACCTTCATCAGAGAACCCCATGGACAGCATCTGAGAGAGCGACTCAATCAGCCGAGGGTCAGCCTCTGCCAGAAAGAAAAAGGAAAATGAGGGAGCCTTACAGGACTCTAGCCCACTACGCACTGCCTACCAAGGACACCTGCCTTCAGCCTCTCAGGGACCCTCAGAGGCAGGCTTGACTTAACAAGCACGTAGCACCCCATTCAGATTTACAGCCATTCACAAGTTTGCTACCCCTACCTCTCTAATGCAGAGAAAATATCCACTTGTGCAAGGCTTTAAATATTGTTGCCCTAAGCCAGTCAGGGAACATGCCGCTTATGCAGGGTATGCTCTTGGGACTGCCAGTCCTTGCCCAGCTCTGCTTTCCTGCCTGACACGTCGCACTCCACTCTGCCTGGCTCCTACTGGGGCCTTGGCTGTGATGCCTGTCTAAGATTTGTTCTCCCCATAAGGAAATGGGACACACAGTCTCCAAGGTCAACTTTAAGTGGTACATGAGAACTCAGAGCCAGCGCTGTCTTTCCTGTCACATTTGCCTTCTAGTACATCTAGGCATTAAGGGTTAGAAATTCCTAAACTGAGGTCAGGTTATTGTTGAAGTGCAGACATAAATCAGATCTCCTAGTTGTTTCTCATTTCAGTAGACAAGCCCCACTAGGCCCTGTGGTGCAGGCCATTCAGGAGTCAGCCCCACTAGGCCCTGTGGTGCAGGCCATTCAGGAGTCTGAGGGAGGAAGCCAGTGACTGGACTACACAGTTAGATGCTGCTTTTTTTTTTTTTTTTTTTTTTTTTGGTCTTTTTTGAGACAGGGTCTCCCTGTAGCCCAGCTGGCCTGGAACTCACTATGTAGACCAGGCTGGCCTTGAACTCACAGAGATCCACCTGCCTGTGCCTCCCAAATGCTGGGACTAAAGGCATGCGCCACCATGCCTGGCTAGAGGCTGTTTTTAATTTTTTTTTTTTCGGTCTTTTTGAGACAGGGTCTCCCTGCAGCCCCAGCTGTCCTGGAACTCACTATGTAGACCAGGCTGGCCTTGAACTCAGATCTGCCTGCTTCTGCCTCCTGGGTGTTGGGATTAAAGGTGTGCGCCACCATGCCTAGCTGATGCTACCTTTAAAAAAAAACAAAACCTGCAAAAAAAAACAAAACCTGCCCCCCCCCCTTTTTTTTTTGGTATTGCTAAGACCAGACAGGACAGGATACTTGAAACAAAATGAAACCTCTAGATATCACGTGCCTGGTGGAAGATGTGGGTACAGGGCAGCTTCCTTCAGCCCTGTGGGTCCTTCCTGAGAGGGGTCCAGAGAGCTTGGCCCTTCTGATTCTGGCATCTGTAGAGATTGCAGTTCACCAGTGGAAGGGTCCACTTCTTTTGAAGACAAATGTGTCCAGTCATCATCTCCTCCCGAACAATTATCCGACTCCATCTGTTCCTAGAATACAACCTGCCATGAGCATACACAGCCCTGAACAGGGAAGCCTAAACCTACAACCTTGTCCCAGGAAAATACGAGGAGTTGCAAGGAACAGAGTTGCTTGCAGAGAACAAATGTCTGTCTCCCACTTTTTTTTTTCCTCCACGATGCCAGGAATCAAACCCAGGATCCTGTGTTAGGGAAGTGCTTTACCACTGAGTTACACATCCCCAAATCCAGTGTATTTTTCTCTACAAAGTTCTACCGGAGGATTCAGAGAATAACTTAAACCTGTAGTCATAACTACAGGAATGAATGACAGGGTCCCTGGTCCTTCAGGTTGTAAGCATGCTAGAACGAGTCTGAGGTACAGGGATGCAAAGCATCAAGGCAGGTCAGTTTCAGCTGTCCGGAGAAAGCAGGCCTACCTCTGGCTGCCCCATGGACTCCAAGGCAATCTTTTTCATTTGCTCTGTCAGAGACTGTGCAATCCCCTCGCCTGTCCCATCTGGTTTGCTGACTTCTGAAGAGCAGCTACTTGGCTGGGAGCTGCACTTGTCTTCTGTGCTAGAGCCTTCTGGGGAGACAGGTGTCAGGCGGCTTCTTTTCCCTCCATGTTCCACATCAATATCAACTTCAATGCCTAGAGCAAAGGGAAAATGAGCCATCAAGTCCACTCACTGGCCTTCCCTGCAAAGGATTCCTCAGTGAACTGAGCACCGTCGACTTAGGAAACTCCTTCACATTTAATCCCTGCCAACACATGAGAAAACACTAGCAGTCAGACTACATGAGGATGCAGATGCTAGACACAGCTCTAGATTTGACCAGGTAAGATATGACCCTGTAGGCCAGGAACAAAAGGATAGTCCCCTTCAATCTTTTTTTAATTTTATTATTTTATGCGTATGCATGTATTGCCTGCATGTAGGTAAGTGCACCCATGCTGTGCAATGCTCAGAGTCAGAAGAGGCTATTGGATCTCCTGGGACTTGGGTTACGGACAGTTGTTAGCTGCCATGTGGGTGCTGGGATTCAAACCTGGGTCTTCTGCAAGAACCACCCGTGTTCTTAACCGCAGAGCCATCTCTCCAGCCCCGGTCCCTTTCAATCTTTAGCATCCAGAGGTGGAGCTGCTTCTCCCAACCCTGGCCCTTCTGACAGGCTCATTACATTGGACCTTTACCTTCCTTCAACTTAAACATTAACTTCAGCTAATGGTCAAGGTCAGCTTCTGAACCACGAAGTCTCCAGAGGGACCTTGTTTCTCCCAACCCAGCACCAACAGCAGGGTTCACAGAAGCTGGGTCAGAACAGGGTGGGGGCCAGTAGTACACATGGGCAGAACACCTAGTTATAGTACTGGAGGCCACATGACACATTATGCCTGCACACCAGGGCTCCATGATACGACAATTACACATCTTAACTCCAAGATTTACTTGGCTCCAAACAGCACAGGATTCTGTAGGGGGTTGGAGGGGAGGGAACAAATCACCTATATATTTCAGATATATATCAAAGAATCACACACCCAGTTAAAAAGTTCCTTCCCTGCCGGGCGTGGTGGCACATGCCTTTAGTCCCAGCACTAGGCAGAGGCAGGTCTGAGTTTGAGGCCAGCCTGGTCTACAGAGTGAATTCCAGGCAGCTGGAGCTACAGGGAGACCCTGTCTCAAAAAGACCAAAACAAAAAAAAAAAGTTCCTTCCCAAACTTAAGAGTGACAATTCCCTGCCTCCCCTGCAACACAATCCCATTCTCCAGAGACCCACTGTGGGCCTTTCAACCCTCACGGTTCAGCTACCCTAGCTCAAGTTCACATCTGTTTATTTCCTACTGTGTCAATATTTACCTCCCTTGCTTCTATCCTTTCAAAAGCCAACCTTTGGTTAAAACAACACCCAGTGTTTACAGTACTAGGGCTGTGTAAATGTTACTTTTATTGGGATGTGTGCTTTCTCTCTACTGTTAAGGGTGTGCCCTCTTCTTTTGCTTGCTAATTTTCCCATATTCATCTCCAGAGTCTCTTCCTTTTGAGTTTCAAGGCTATCAGGTACCCATTAAGTCTGGCTTTTCCTTGGCATCAGCACAGGTATTCATACTACCTTCCTTCATCTAAGCTAGGGCTTCTCTTTCCCCTCATTTCCTGTTCATCTGGGTCTTCTACTTTCCCTCAATGCATCCTGAAGTAATGGTAAGACCTTGCCTATCAGAAAACCTGTTCTGCTCACATACTTGACAGCTTGGGGTAGACAAAGACTTCCTGGCTGAGGGCTAGTGAAGAGGTTATGGGGATCAAAAGACATCAGGGTGGAAGGAGATAACTACACAGTTACCCTGACCTTTACACATGTAGCATGCATGTGCCCACATATTACATCCCCACACCCTTTTAAACATCCTGGTGGCAAAACTGGTTTAGCTCAGATTTTGTTGTTTTCTGAGACAGGGTATGGCCAAGCAAACCAAAAGGTTGAAAGAACAGTCCAGTGAACCCACATATACTCTCCATGTTTTCTAAGCAGATGTATGACAAGATCAGCAAGTTGTTGAATTAGGAGCTTGTCAATGGAATAATGAAACCCTAAGACCTCATGGTTCAGGGAGAATATCTGGTAATCTATGACCTGCTGTCCCCTAAGCCTGTGTGTGTTTGCCAAACATCCTGTGAAAAAGAAGGCCTTGTTACCTTGTGTCTTAGGTGTCAGTGACCATAGCCTCTGAACCAGGTATAGTGCTAGACCACAGCAGTGGCCTTCTCAGAGGGTGGACTGACTCCTTCCCATCTGGGCCTCCGCTGTAGCCCAGGCCATTGAGAGGCAGTATGTTAGCATAGGAGTCACCCCAGCTCAGTGTCTCAGAGAAAAAGGAAAACTCCCATGACTTCCAGAAGAGTTAAGACCACTTGCTGCTCTTGCAGAGGACCCAGGTTGGGTTCCTAGCACCCACATGGCAGCTAAGTACTGTCTACAACTCCAGTTTCTATAACTATAGTTCCAGATAAAAACTCCAGTTTCACCAGGCATGGTGGCGCATGCCTTTAATTCCAGCACTCACAAGGCAGAGGCAGGCGGATCTGTGAGTCCAAGGCCAGCCTGGTCTACATAGTGAGTTCCAGGACAGCTGGGGCTACAAGGGCGACCCTGTCTCAAAAAGACTCCCCCCCCCCA